GGGGTGGGAGGGGGGGGGGGCGACCGGAGTGGGGGCGGGGCTGGGAGGCGGCGGGGAGGAGGGCAGGGCCAGGGTTCGCAGCTTGCGACCGGCTTGGCGGAAGCCTTGATGAACGTCCGGCGCGAGGGCGGGACGGGCTTGACGTCGTCGCGCGGGAGCGACGCGTACTCCTCCTTGCTGCTCGCCGTGCGGGTCGCGCTGCTGATCGGTGTCGCCATGAAAGGATCCCCTTCTCCGGGGGGGGGGCTGTGGAGCCTCCGCTGTGGAGCCTCGGCCGAGCTCAGGCCCCGTTGTTTCTTTTTTCACGGCTCCTAAGTAAATCGTACGAGGCGAGAGCTTGCGTTGTAAAATTATCTTTTCTTTCTTTACTGATGACGCAGTGGCACCTCGGTCGTGCCCGCGCGCGGAAAAACTCTCGCACCCCACCGCAATCTCCATGCCTCTAGGGTCGCCGCAGGCTCAAACTAAGCCCAAGGGCGCGGCAGCGTGCCTCCCGGCCGCGCGGCAAAGCCCGCTCTAAAGCCCCCTCCCCCCATCCGTGCCCCCTCCCTACCCTCCTACCTCGGCCGGCTTCAGGCGCGGCGCGCGCCTTGGCCTGTACGCGCTTTTCTCTGCATAGGCTATCTATATTCTTTGCATCATATTCTTTCTGGGCCCCCTATATTCTCGAGAATATTCTCGAAACACCTCTCATTTCACTACGCTACAGGGTAACACGTAACAGGGACGTACACTCGTACAGACGTACACGCGAGCGGCGAGCGACGAGCCCCAATGAGCGCGAGCGGCGAGCAGGCGAGCGAGCTCTGCAGCGCCAAAGGCGCGGCGTTGGCGGCACTCAGCTACACTCAGCCTACTGTGCGCTGGTTGAACTTGAGCATCAGCGCCGCGCGGATGTAGTCGGCCAGCGCGGACATCTGCTGCTCGCCAAACATGCTCTTGACATCGTCCTCGTCCACATCTCCCCACCCGATGGCATCACGTGAGACCCGCGAGGCGGCGGCGGCGGGCGAGGCGGGCGAGGCGGACGAGGCGGACGGCGAGGCGGCGGCGGCGGGCGAGGCGGCGGCGTCGGCGGCGGCGGGCGAGGCGGCGGCGTCGGGCGAGGCGGCGGCGGGCGAGGCGGGCGAGGCGGCGGCGTCGAGCGAGGCGGACGGCGAGGCGGCGGCATCGAGCGAGGCGGCGGCGTCGGGCGAGGCGACGGCGTCGGGCGGGGGCGGCGTCATATCCTCCTCGACGTCGCCCTCGTCCTCCTCCATGACATCATGCTCAGCGGCCGGCGCCGCTGCCTCAGCGGCCTGCGCCGCGGGGAGCTTGGCCAGCTCGGCCAGCCAAAGGTCCCTCGGGATATAGCCGTCGCGGAAAACAGCCGATTGAGCTCGGCTGCCTCGTCGGCAGGAGCGCAGTGTGCAAAGCCGAAGGCGTGAGCTGCGCCCGCAGCGCTTGCCGCTGCGCTCACCTTGAAGAGCGACCGCGCGATGCGGCCTGGCGCGCCGATGCGCGCCGGCGCGAGCCGCCCGGCGTGGCGCAGCGCGAAGAGCAGCATGGAGTCGAGGCCGAGCGCAGCGAGGCCGAAGCGAACAGCGAAAGAGCAGCCTCGAGCCGGGCGATAGGGAGACTAGAAGACGCCGCAATAAAAAGAAAAGCGGGCGCCCTGAGCCCTCATATTCGCCGCTGAAAGGAGGGGCCGTCTATATTCTCGAGAATATTCTCGAATACGAAAGTGCGCTCGGCCCTCTATATTCTCAAAGATTAAGATATTCGAGAATATGGCGTACAGGCCAACGGCGCGCCCGATGCCCCGAGATCATCCGAGATGACCCGAGACCAGCCCCGACGGAGAGGCGCGGCGCCTCAGAAGAGGCGCACCCCTCAGAAGAGGTACTCGTCCGCGCCGACGAGGAGGGGGAAACGCGGCACGGCGACGGCGAACTCCTCGCCGGTGGGCGCCTCGAGCGAGCCGGGCACAAAGTCGATCGACCCTTCGAAGGAGATGCTCGAGCCGCGCCCGCTGAGGCTCTGGTACACAAACACGCCCTCGCACCACTCGCCCTGCCCGATGCGGCCCGAGTGGCGCTGCTTGTCGTCGCGCCTGTGGTGACGCGCCCCGGACGTGTCCCGGACGTGTCCCGCGCGCGTCCGGAGTGGCGCTGCTTGCCGCGCCAGCCGCCCTCGCGCAGCAGCGGGAAGTAGCCGACCACACACCCTTGTGTCCCTTGCCGTGCACCTGTGGGAGAGGAGGGCGCGTCTTCGAGGAAGGGGCTCTAAACTCGTGGCCGACCGCCCCCCCTTGCCGCGCGCCTGGTCCGCGCCGCCGTCGGCCTGCCTGAGGACCCAGTGGCGCGTGTGGAGCTGCGCCTGCGGGCTAGCGGTGGACGCGTCGTTGACGTGTCCGGTGGCAGGCCGACCCCGCTTGTGGCAGCTGCGGCCGTCTCGAAGCCGCGCTGATCGGCCGGCAGGTGCCCCTCCTCTCCGGGCGCTGTGGCGCCTCGCCGAGTTTGTGTGGGGCGTCATCGACCCCGAGCGGTCATTCGACCCGAGCAAGCCGTCCGAGCTGCAACTGTACCTCCCTGTGCGGGCCCGTGAACATCTTTAGCTTGTGAGCCAGGAAAAGGGTTGCTTTTTAAGCGTTCCGTGCACACACAAGGTCCGCCTGCGTGCACCGCCCCAGCTTCTCAGGGCCATCGCGCGAAAAACGACGGAGGAGATGCATCCTAGCTGTCGCCACCGAAGGCGACTCGACGTCGCTGAGATCGGAGATCAAGCGCTGACAGGTCACACGCCGCTCCTTTGACTCCGACGTGACTCACCCGTGCAGAGCACATCAGGACACGGTCTCTCGACGCGATCGGTGCGACGACTGCGACCCGTCTCTCGGGTCAGGTGGCACGACGCTCATCGCGCCTGCCAGCGCTGCCGTGCAGGCTGCCACGACGAGGTCGAGCACGCTTCTATACGCTCGCCGAGCCTTCCTTTCCATCCCATTAGGCAGCCTGGGAACGGTGGCGATCAGAGGCAAAGCCTACGAGGGGTGGTGGAACCACATGTCACGGCCACCGCCGGCTCGACGCCACGATAGCCTCCGAAGGCTGACTTTGAGGCACCATCATCGGACGATGTCGACGAGCTGGGTCGCTCTCGCGGTAGCCAGGTAGCCCCCCATACTAGTAGCACCAGCCATGGCCTCAGGGTCAGGCTAGGGGGTGCGCAGCGTCCCTAATCTAAAATCTGAGGATTCAGGATTGAGGCATCGCTTCAGTGGGGCCAAAGTGAGTTTATGGATGTGTGAGAACGGTACGGGACGCGAGGAGTCACCCGGACCGACTCGTCGGTGACTCTGCTGCACGGCGTTTCAGAATTTTTCTCAGCGTGAGCGAGACGTGGAAGAGTGCCACCGTCGGGTAGGACGGGTCGGCCCGGAGTATCAGAGTAGCCGTCGTGGTCGCGGCGAGCAGCACCGGCCACTCCGGCGCCGCGTCGGCAACATGGGAGCATGTCCACCGCCACTTCGCGGTCGCAGCGCTGTTGTCGCCAGAAACGCCGCCTATCCCTCTGGCGGGCCAAAGATCGCCTCGCATGTCGATTTTGACTCGACGGGGGCATGGAGGCATCACGTCTCCATGCCCCCGTCAAGTCGGAGCCAGTCTGCGGCGACCACAGCGCTCACCGCAGGGATAGGCGAGCTTTTCAGAGTCAAGCGATTGCGCGAAATCCCACACTGGTGGATTTTGGGGCGCTGTGCACCCCCTAGTCAGGCCTAAGGGAGCGCGGGAACACGGACACAATATAATAATCAATAAAAACCATCAAAATTCATCATGTTGACAGCACCCGTATTTGCAACTAGCCCCCACCTGGCCAGTAGCACCGCTCAAGGAAAGGCAACGACGCACGGGACACGGAGTAAGCACGCGAGTACGGCGACGGAGCCTCAGCTGTGCATCCCCGGCCCTATACCCCCCCCCCCCCAAAACTACGCCTCGCCGCTCCAGAGAAAGGCTGGCCGCGCAGCACACCGCTGCGCGAAAGCTCCCATCACTGCGAGAGCGCGCGGCGGATATGGACCCAGACCCATGTGGGTCGCCGACGCGGCAAACGCCTCCCGCCCCTCCTCCCCGGCGGGTCGCTGTGCCTGCTCATGTGAATTGCTTAAGATGGCGTCTGTGTGCTGTGGCGTCTGCCGTGAGTGCGGCCGCCGAAGAGTTAGACATGCTCCTGCGCCGCCTGCACCGAGACCGCGGACTCCTCCGAGACCACCGAGACCGTCGCCTCGCCTCCAGAGCCGTCGCCCGCGGTGGTTGTCTTCGCAGAGCTGCGGCGGCTGATCGTGGGAACGAGCCGGCTGCCACGCTTGGCGATGCTGCCCGAGAGGCGGCTCATCCTTGCGACGCTGCCCGACTGAGCGGGAGTCGCGCCGAGGTCCTTTGCCAGAAGCGCGAGCGACACCTGCGGAACGGAACGCCCTGGCTGGTGAGTCCCGCCAGTGCGCAAGGCGAGATGTGGGAGAGACAAAGCGCGCGCCGGGTTGTGGCAACCCGGGAAGCACGAGCGTGCCAGGGTCTTGTAGAGCCCGTCGGCGATGAGCTCCTGCGGCGTTTGGAGGAGGCGTGTGGGGGGAGGGGAGGCTCGGGACGGGCGTCACTGTGAGGCATTCGCTCCTGCGGCGTGACTTCGAACATTCTGCCAAACTCGCAGCCGCCGAGGTCCGGGTCGTTCTCGTGCGCCATGACGATCTTCAGCTTGTCTTTGCGCGCCTGCTGGACCTGGTCGGCCAGCCGCGCGTCGCTGAAGCTGTCCTCGTTGAGGTAGAGCAGCATGTGGGTCGCGGTGGCCGGCCGAGCATCGGCGGTGGAGATCGTGAGACCGGCAAAGGCGGCGGCGATCTTGTTGGCCAGCTCCAGGGCGCCCGCGTTGGCCGGCGAGGCCCAGAGCATGGTCTCCTTGGCAAAGGCGAGCAACTCGCTCTCGGGCTCGCCCGGCACGCAGAGCGGGAGGGAGGTCTGGTTCAGGTAGTTGGGCGAGCAGAGGAGCACCGCCTGTGGTTCAAGGGTGCCGGGGCTGAGGTCTCGGGAGGGGCGAGAGGGCTGCGGCTGTGCCCCGCAGCGCCTCGACGATTGTCTTGAGCGAGACGCGCTGGAACTCCACAACTCGCATGTAGATGGTGTGCGTCCAGCCCTTTTCAAAGATGTCCGGCTGCAGGTCCTCGGGGCATTCGCCGCGCAGCGCCTGCAGCGTCGCGCCGCCCTTTGCAGGGTCCGCCTCTTGGACGAGGACGATCGGCTTGCTCTGCTCGAGCGACGAGCGGATCTCGCGGAGGCAGTTCTGGTGGCACGCAAGCAGGCGGGCGGTGAGCCGTGGGGAGTGTCGAGGGGCGCAGCAGACTCGGGTGCGTTGAGAGCCAGACGATCCCGAGCGCGGGACAGGGCGGCGAGAGCGCGCCTTGGAGCGGAAGTAGCCACACGAGAGGAAGAAGAGGATGACCTGCGAGTGCTGGATGTACTCCTCCAGCGACCCAATATCCTTGAGATCATCTACCTGTGCGCACTCCGCGGTGCGTCAGAAGGGCTGTGTGTAGCTGGAGCAGCGCGGCTGAGCCTGTGCGCGCGTCGAGAAAGATCTTGAGGCCCGGCACCAGCAGCTGGAGCTCACTCTTGATGTTTCCGACGGCGTCTTGACCGGTCGACCTGCATGGTTAGGGGGTTGGAGTTGGATGCGGCCTGGCTTGATCATCCTCCTAGCTGCGCGACGCACCAGATGTGAGAGAGGAAGAGGTGCCACGTGAGGCCAGTCCCGATGCTTATCTCGGGGGGCTGCTTGGTCGAGACGAGGCGGATCGTGGGGACCTTGGCGACGCGGCGGGCGGCGACGACGGCGCCGATTAAGAAGAAGACGAGCGCAACAGCAACGAGCACGATCATCGTGTCCACGATGGCATTGAGCTTTCCGAAGCCGAGGACATCGGCGGGGTCGGCTCCCTGGTACCGCTCCTCGATGCCGAGGAAGATGGTGGTCCAGTTGGTGCCGAGGAAGAGGAGGAGGAGGACGAGGCTCGTGGCGACGGCTAGCACGTCGTCCTCGACCCGCTTGTACGGCCGCACGACGGCGAGCACGACGGCGTAGCACGAGCAGATCAGGGTCGCCACCACGAGGCGAAGGAATGCGTTCTTCTCCGGGATCAGCAGCACGAAGCCCGTGAGCACGAGCTTGCGCGCCAGCTCGACCGCCTCCCACCAGTACCAAGTCTTCTCGTACTCCCGGTGGAGGAAGGCGGTGGCCCGCGTCAGAGCATTCGGCGACTTGGCCTGCAGCGGCTTGTAGCAGGCGGCGAGGAGCGACGTGAAAAGGACCAGCGAGCCGACCGGCCAGAGGACGATGAAGCCGAGGGCCAGGGCGGTGATGCCGTCGTGCTTCTCGGTGCCGCACTCGACGCTCGCGTCCTGCCGCATGTAGGAGACCTGCTCCAGGGGCTCGTTCGGCGGAGAGATGGTGTAGGCCTATCAGCAGCACATTGCCTGAGGGGCGGCGTGAGCAACGGCAGTCATCACTTTGAGGCGCCTGGCACGACCACGAGCGGAAGATGGAGGCGCTAATGGAGGGCACGAAGCAGAAAATGAGCACCAAGCCGGCCGGCGTGAGGTCGAGGAGGCCGAGGGCCGCCTCTGCCCACAGCTTTGGGCGCGGTGACGCGGCACGCCAGCGGCGGAGCCGCAGCGCGATTCCCGTTCCCATGAGCAGGGCGATGAGGACGACGGGGGAGAGAGCGCTGACGACGAGCCGCGTACCATAGCCGAGGCACTGCTCCGGCAAGAAGAAGCCCGACCAGTCGATGGAGATCGCGCTGGCCAGCTTGTCGGTCCAGCCCGTGTACTTGTCCGGCAGCCGCGCCGAGTAGGTGGACGACAAGACGGTGCTGATCTGGTAGAAGCCAAACAGGATCTTGACCTTGGCCGTCATTCCGCCCTCGACGTAGTACTTGACGGAGCGGTCTGCAAAGCGAAGGATTGGGCCGATGAAGCGTTTCTCCCGCCAGTCCGTCATGCTGTAGGCCCACGCCGCCAGGCCGCACGCGACGCAGAGGCCGAGGACGAGGCCCGCGATGCGACCCGCAGCGGCGCCGCGCGCTCCGCACTCTTTGCACTCGTCGCCGTCGACGAGGTACTGATTCTCCGCGGCGCAGAGCTCGCACTCGGGGCCGGTGAAGTCCGAAGCGCAGTACTCGTCCGAGCCCGCCGCCTCCAAACGGCGAGACGCCTGCTTGGCTCCGCGCTCGTTGCCGGCGCACCGCGCCTCGCCGGCCCTGTCGCCCCCGAAGTCGCGGCACGCCGTCAGCACGGCGGAGGAGGGGCTGGCGCGCCAGTAGCCGGCTGGGACGCCGAGGGTCGCGAGAGAGGTGTCGTCCGAGCACTCGGCGTTTGGCGGGCATGGCTTGCAGTAGTCGGTCGGGGAGGAGAAGATCTCGGCCGGGTCGGCGCTCTTGAGCAGGTAGAAGTCCTTCTGGCAGACGGAGCAGGTGACGGCGCCGCGCTCACCACTGAGGGGGTGAGGGCAAGGGACGCACTGGCCCTGGCCGGGGTTGGCGGCGTACGTGCCTGCAGCACACTCGCTGCAGGCGCTGCTGCCGACGCCAGAGGTGGTGCCGGGCTCACAGCGCTCGCACTTGGAGAGGCCGGGCGTGGCGGCGAAATGGCCGGGCTCACAAGGCTCGCACGTCTTGTGGCTGACCGCGCCCGGCGCCGCGCTCGCCGTGCCGGCGGGGCAAGGCTCGCACGAGGCGCTCGAAGCGGAGCCGCTGGTCGGGCTGAAGCTGCCCGCGGGGCAGGGCTCCCAGACCATGCTCGTGGCGGCTCCCTC